AGCTGGGTACCAGCCTCAGTCGGTAGGTTGGTCTACAGTTGGTCTGGAGGTTAGGCTACCAGTTAGTCTACAGATCAGCGTTTCAGCGCCGGGAAGTGCGGAGGAGCAGAGAGATTAGCGCAGCAGCGAGGAGAAACAGCGCAGCAGTGAGTTAGTGCAGCCTATGTTGCACGCCCAGCCGCGGCCTAGGCCGATGACCGAATCGGCCCGGTTCGGCCTAGGCCAACCAGCCGAGTTTGGTACATGATTTTTTTCCCCCATTTTTCACGTGTAAAAAAAAAATAAAAAAATATGGGCGTGTAGGGCTGAAAAAGCCCTACACGCCCATATTTTTTTTTTGGGTGTCGGGCCTTCGCGCGATGCAGAAAAAAAAAAGCGAAAAAAGAAAGAAAAAAGGGCCCAGTGGGCCGTTTTGGCCCTGTTTCGGTGCCAGCGGGTGAGGGGAACCGTGTGGGCAGTGTGAGGAGGGCGGTGGGTCCAGGCCCAGGCCACGGCAAAACTGTTGCCGTTTCAGATAAATGCTGCCATTTATCTGAAACGGCAACAATTATTGTTGTTGCCGTTATGCTGCCGAACTGCCTGCTCGCACGCTGAGAGAGAGAGAGAGAGAGAGAGAGCGATAAAAGATTGGTTTACTACGTACCTGCTGCGCTGGAGATACCGCTGGAGAGATAGAGAGAGAGAGAGAGAGTTCTTCTTCTTCTTCTTCTTGGTGCGCAGTTGGCAGCGGCGCGCGTCGCGCGACCAGGCGGGACAGCGCCTCGACATCGGCCAGTGGCTGCCCGACGGCCGTCGCCATCGCCGCGCGCGGCCTTTTTCAGCGCGCGACCATTTTAGTGCCCGGCCGCGGCCGAACGAGGCCGAACGCGGCCGAACGCGGTCGAACAGGGTCGAGCAGGGCCGAACGCGGTCGAGCACGGCCGTTTCATCTCGCGGTTGTGCGTGAGGCCGACCGACCGGGTTCCACGGGGAGCACGGGCGTCAGCGACATCGGGGGGACGCGGCAGTGGCGGCAGCGGGGAAGTCAGGGACTGCATCGACGGTACGGCACGGTCCGACGACATCGACGGTCATCGCGACGACTTGTTGGATTCGGGTGGGGGCACGATGATGGGGGGTGCAGGGACCAGCGGTGCGGGGGGGTCTGGGGGTGCCCAGTTCGACCCGCTGTCGGAGAGGGAGATGGCGAAGTTGAGGCGGGGGAACTTGGTTCGGAACTTCGTCATCGCGGGGCAGTAGGTCGGGGACCAGTCCAAGATGCATGGGGACCGAAAGTTGCATTGCAACTTCTGCGGCCACTTGTTTCAGGGGGGGTCGTCGAAGGCCGCGCGCCATTTCACGCAGTCGAAGTACTGCAAGGCTGGGGGGATGAGAGTTCTCGCGGAACTCTGGAACGGCACGGACTACACATTCGTGCCTTCCACTGCTCAGCGGGTGCAGAGGTGGATGGCAGATGAGGGGATACGGGACACGAGAGCGCCCGCGGGTGGCCAGCGACAGCGGATGGACGACGGAGAGAGGGACGACATCCAGGACACCTTCGATGAGGAGGAGGGCCGCGAGGGTGGGGCCAGGGAGGGGGGGGTGGCAGACGAGGCAGACGACGCAGTCGGAGAGCCTGACCTGCCAGGGGAGGAGGTGGTGATGACGTCAAGAGGCGTCGGTCGAGCGGGTCCCGCTCCTAGGGCGCCGCGACCTGAGTTGGAGCGCGCTAGGAGGGAGAAGAGGGAAGTGGGGGAGGCTGACGTCGAGGTGCAAGACACGGACAGGGAGAAGAGGGCTCGGCAGACGGCGATTGACGAGATGTACGCCAAGGAGAAGTTTAGAGTTCACAGACGCGTGGCTGCAGTGGATCTACGCGAAGGGGTTGCCATTCAACGCTTTCCGTGGTCCAGAGTTCCAGAGGGTGCGGCAGGCGGCAAAGAGAGTGCCTCGTACTGTCCAGTTCCGGTTTTCCTCCTTCAGGGTTACAGCGGGTGCCGGTATCCCTTCGCAGAGGGCGAAGGTGGCGACGATGGTGAGCGCGGTGCACGCCGCTTTCCGGCACAGTGGTGCCACCATCCTCTCCGACGGGAGGAAGTCGCGCAGCGGCAAGCCGCTCGTGAACTTCCTCGCCGGAGGCGCCAATGGCGCCCTGCTATACGCCACCGTCGCACGTGACGGGTCGGTCCAAGACACAGCGGACATCGTGTACCGTAGGTGGCGGGCCATCATCTTGTCCTTTCCTCCAAAGGACGTGATCGGCTTCTGCACAGACTCCGCGGCGGCAGCGCGCAGATTCGCCACTGACCCCGAGCCCGACATTAGGAGGACGCGAGTGGGGTGGGTCAAGGACACCATCATCCGCACTCGAGCGCTTGTGCGATTTATTAAATCGCACGGCGCTGCTCACGCCCTGTTTAGGAANACGCGAGTGGGGTGGGTCAAGGACACCATCATCCGCACTCGAGCGCTTGTGCGATTTATTAAATCGCACGGCGCTGCTCACGCCCTGTTTAGGAAGGTGAGCCCTCGCGTTCAGCTCGTCGAGCCCGTTGAGACACTGTTCACATCGGTTTTCTCGATGCTGACGTGTCTCAAAGGCCGACGAGACGCGTTGGTGAGCATGTTGCACGGGGATGCTTGGGCACGCATCCCGTGGGAGCGCAGGCATGTATCGCAGGCGCAGTGGGTGCAGCAGCAGATCCGGGATGGGGAGTTTTGGCGTTGTGTCCAGTACGCCCTCCTTGTCATGGCGGCCATCCACCAGCTGTTGCGCAGGATGGATAGGGGGGGGATGATGATGTCCGTCGTTTACGAGTGGAGTCAGCATGTGCTGCAGTTGATGAGGAGGGTCGACGTGCCGGCGGACATGATCGAGCCGTGCGTGCGTGAGGTTGCCATCCGCAACCTCCACATGCTAGAGCCCGCACATGCCGCGGCCCACCTCCTCAACCCTCGTCGATGGTCCCTCACGTATTACCATTCGTTAGAGACGACCGCGGACGATGCCCGTGTGGTCGAGGAGTGCGACAGATTTCTCCTGGCGCAGACCGGCGATGATTCGGTCGGCAGACTGTACAGGACCGTGAGGGACCAGATGAGGGACTTCCACTCGATGCGAGGGAATTGGGGAGATCGGTCCCTCTTCGATGCCGAGGCGGACGATTGCAGGGGGGACCGCGAGACCGAGCGATGTGCAGCGTGGTGGTTTGACCATGGACGGGCCCACCCGGAGTTGCGCACCATCGCCATCCGTGTCATGCACTTGTGGACGTCTGCCTCTCCAGCGGAGAGGAACTGGGCGCAGCACGAGCGCATAACACGGCGAGGCGCTGCAAGCTTGGTTTTGCCAAGCTTGCACAACTGGTTGAGATTGCCACCAATCTCAAACTGGCCTCGTGCGCACGGCAGGGTGGTGGCTACGTGTTGCCATGGGTTATGGGGACCGGTCGGGAGGGGACGGGGGCAGAGGACGAGGATGAGGAGGGAGACGTGGAGCTCGACGTGTGGGGAGCGCGACCTGCCGGCAGTGTTCCCGAGCAGGAGATCCAGCGGCAGATTGTCGCTTTCCATGACAGCCGACCGTCCAGAGCCCATTCGGTTCGGGACGTGTTCGGCAAGAGGGCGACGGAGCTGTGAGCGTGGCCAGAGGGTGGGGATGATGCGGACGCCGCTGCGGCAGACGACGACATCGACGACGAGTGGACAGACGATGATGACACGCCACTGAGTGGCGACCCGACGGCGGAGCGGGTGTACTTCACTTACGGTGGGGGACGTGACGGCACGGATTCATTCACATCAGTTATCACTGGTGGTGTGCCGTCAACCGCACAGGCGAGTGGCAGCAGCAGAGCCGGTGGTGGTCGTGGAGGACGTTCGCATGCGGAGGTTGGCGTCGACGACTCGGGGGAGCAGCAGCCACGGGGAGGTCTTCGGCAGACAGGCAGGCGTTGGGAGGTTAGGAGCGACAGCGAGGCCGAGGAGGAGGCCGAGGATGAGCGGGTGCCCCTTCACGATCGTCGCTTCTCTCCCTCCCATCATCGGAGCACTGCACAGCCCGAGGCACTTAGGCATTCAGAGAGGTTGGCGTCAGCAGCAGGCAGAGAGCGGACACATGACGGCGAGGATTGTGGGGGGGAGAGGACTCCTTCCGACGCCGGTATCCGCCCCCGCTCGCCTTCGGAGCTCCACACACATGACTTTGGCGTCGGAGGGCTTGGTGGGGGCTTGGGAGATTTCAGTGTCGAGGGACGTCGACGTGCCTCACCGTCGGAGGTGCACACCGACACGGACATTGTGCGGGGCCCTGTTGAGACTGAGGAGGAGAGGGATGCCCGTTTGGACCGAGAGGAGGAGGAGCGGCTGGGGAGTTTGCCACGATGGGAGGGTCGGTTCGCGTATCTTGACAAGCAGCGTCGGCAGAGGGAGTTGGAGACAGTAGGGGGGGGAGGCCGTGACGACGAAGACTCGGGTGTCCCTGAGGAGGCAGTTCAGGGGGAGTTCGATGATGAGGGACAGGATGCCGCCGCGGGTAGTGGGTCAGGTGGTGGATGCCGCGGCGACGGGGAGACCGCGGGTGATGAGGGGCAGGATGTTGTCGTGGGCGGTGGGTCCCCTCGTGGGGGGCGTGGCGACGGCGAGACCGCGGGTGATGAGGGACAGGGTGGCGCCGTGTGTGGCAGGGGAGAGGGTGGACCCGGTGGAGATGGGGATACCGCGGGTGTCGGGGGAGACGATGGACCAGACGGAGATGATGACGACGATCACGGTCCCGAGGATGATGCGTATAGGCTCGCCTTGGTGTTGAGGGACCCCACAGTACCTCCCTTGCACCTTGACGACTCAGCGCATACTTTCTTCGACGTCAACGCTTCGGCGCAAGCGTTGACGGATGACCCTTTCGCACACATGGGCCGCGTGAGCAGCAAGAGGCGGGCCCTTGGGAGGGTGTACTCACCGCCGCCGTTCGAGGTGCAGAGCCCTCGATGATTGGGTTCGTCGCTCAGCGGCGTGAGAGGGAGGAAGTCCGGAGCGGGTGAGGTGGGGTCCGGCAGACGCAGCGACGGCGGCAGAGACAGTGCAGGATCGATGCCTCCGCTGCCCGCACGGACTCTTGAGGCTGTGGTCGACGCCGGGAACCAGACGGCGGCACCCGGAGTTGCGCACAGTGGCGGTTCCCCGCCGACAGTCCGAGGTGGTGTGGGTGGCGGATGGTCAGCTGTTCGTCGGGTCGAGGACCTGTTGCGGGCGGATTACGACGCCGGGAGGGGCATTGAACCTACCTATATTTATCTCATTTATTTGATATAATTTTATTTATATAGTCAATTAAATAGTATATAAAAGAATAATTAGCATTATTTCAAAGAAGGTTATTATGTCTATCTTCTCGGGACGTACGCCAGTTCAGACGCAGGCTGCGGAGGGTGGGTTGGGACGTCCGAGCCTGCAGATGGCAGGCCGCATGCTCGGTTTGTCACGAGCGAAGACGAGGAGATCATTGGTCCTCGAGGGCGCAGGGACATCCTTGGACATGCTGCGGGGACAGCAGTACAGATTGGGCGAGGAGGGGTTGTTGATGCGTCCCGGGACAAGACGACAGCGCGGCGTCTCGGAGGTTGAGGCTCGACTCGCGGCAGGGGTCGCCGCTGGCCAGGCAGCATTGGATGCGATTCAGAGGGAGAGAGAGATGGGGATTGCTGCACGGGCGGCGGAGGACGAGGACGCAGACACAGAGTCTGAGCCGATCGAGACTGCGGCCCGCAGACACAGGGCACAGGTGGCCGCGGCAGCGGCTGCAGCACAGCCGGCATACCTCAGCGGGGCACGGGGCACAGGTGCCGGAGGGAGAGGAGGCCGCCGGGGAGGACCGCATGGCCGCCCGTCCTCCGGGAGAGGCTGCGCGCGCTCTGGAGGGAGATGACGACGTCCGTGGTATTTTTTTTTTTTTCATTAGTTTTTTTTTTTTGTTTTTTGCGTGGCTGTACAGCCTGGACGCTCTGTCGGCATATTTATGTCGATGTTGTTCCATGGAGACTACGACAGTATGTGGACATTAGGGTTTTTTTTTTTTTTTTTTTTTTTGCTACTCGGTTGTACAGTAGAGACGACGGGTCCAGTTTTTGGCTTCAGCCTTGTACATACGCATTTCCATTGAAATGCTTTGTCATATATTTGCTCTTGTTCGTGTTCCTCTACCAACATTGGTCTTGCATCCGACTCGTTGTTGTTTGGTGAGTGGTTTCTGGTTTGTTGTCGTGATTGTTGCAAATTATGTGCTTCTCCGATGCCACGCACCTGCATGTCATGGATGCCTCCATTATGAATGTGCTGTTAATTTCGGATGCGAAATAGGGATGATGTGCTAATGAATGTGTTCTTACACAAACTTCCACCAGTCTGATGAGTGAACACACACTATGACACACTTGCCTGTTAACATTGTTTGAAACTTATGGTTKGCCGCACTGTGATTGATTGTGAATGTGTTGTGACTTTGGTATGCCAACCAGGGTCTGACCTATGATTGCCATGAATGTGTTGTTTCAAAATATGTCACGAACTGTCATCACCCTCACGAATGAAATCGACGCCTGCCTGAGGCCCTGATCTGCCTGGGGTCTGCCATCTGCAGCCCTGTCCAACTTCGACCCGACCTGGCCGCACGGTCCGCCCCAAACAGGCCCTCATCCAACCCCCGTTGGGCCGCCCCCGGGGGTCGAATTTTTTTATTTTTTTTTCCTAGTGTTCCAGACCCTCCTCCCTGCGACCCCGCATCGACGAACCCGCACGCGCCCGACGCACGAATTTTCGCAGCCCACCCTTCCAGGGCCATGTGCAGGACCCCCCCGTTTTTTATTTTTTTGACGCTCTGCCACTGTGTGTGGGTGCCCCCCCACCTCCCCACCTCAAACCCGATCCCCGCTTCGAAAACCGCCCCCCAGATCGGCCGAGGCCGAGGCCGAAAAAACTCAGCCGGACCGGCCGTGGCCAGGGGGGTCCCGGCCTAGGCCGGCGGCGTGGGCCGAACCCGGCCGCGGCCAGCGTGCAACACAAAGTGCAGCCGCAGGAGCAGCGCTGGCCCTCTGGCCCAGCCCTGGCCCCCCCATAGCTGCATTGCCAGGTACCAGGGAGAAAGGTTTCGCCTTTCCTCCCTCTTCTTCCTCCTCCGCTCTCCCTCCCTCTCTCTCTCTCTCTCTCGCTCTCTCTCTCTCTCTCTCTCTCTCTCTCTCCTCCCTAGTCCAAGTCTACTATGGGGTTACCCCTACTGGACTACTGCGACTGTGAAGGACGGTTACGAGTTCTGATGATACTAGAGATAGGCTCAGATAGCGACATTGAGACTGCAGGTTGAGGACTACTTTGGGATCTGACTTCATCTACCTCTGAGGATGTGCCTGGCATTGTGAGGTCGATATCTGAGACACTGTGAGACTCTGTATTCGCGACATTTTGGATTTTCGCTACCTTTGACATTTCGAGATAGTATTTTTGGAAACATTGAGTTGACGTCATCTTCCCTCTCCTCCTCCCTTCGTTTCTCCTCTCCCTCCATTCATCCGTGTATGAGATCAGCCCCTGGACTCCTCTTCCATGTTCAAGGCCAGGGCTTCCACATCACCGATGCGTGTTTGTGAGAGATTCGTTGCAGTTTGAGTCAGGTCTGAGTCAGTCCATGTGTATCAAGTCTTCCGCTGTATTTGTATTTACTCCGTATTATCTGGTCGGTTCTGGGGATCTGTGCCATACTTATGACTGTGTTTCACGAGTATGGAACAGTTTGGTATCGGAGCAGACCAGCATTGGATGACTCATCATCAATCGATCGATTGATGGATCAAGCTGCTCAACTAGCACTTGATCAACCAATCGATTGATTGATTTGATTGATTTGACTGATTGATTGATTGATTGATTGATTGATTATTTACACCTGTACTCTGTTATCATTATTCGCGAGTTGGAATTTTTTTTCTTTTTCTTCTTACATAGTTAATTAGGTCAGTTGAAATCTATTTTGAGTTAGGCAGCTCTCTCCAAGCTGCGCGCAGTTAGGAATTGCGCAATCGCGATTAACCTAATTAGTGCTAATTGGGGTTAGTGCTAACCTGATCTAAAGATCGAAGACCCATCGGACTACGGGAAGTAAGCGCCAGCCAGGCACCGCGCCCAACTAAGGCAGATCGGGCCTGAGCACAGCCACATTCAACTGCATCAAGAAACTTTCACTTTTTGCAAATCGCATCTTTTTGGCGATTAAGTTTGAATCTTTACAGCAAATTGTGTATCTTCCTACTACCATTGATCTTCTACTTACCTCATGACCTCGTAATGATGCTGATGCAAGGAACCTGACTGAACTTCACTTGCTGGAGTGTACCAGACAACATGCATGTAATACAGGTCACATCGATTGCATTGTCTCACACAAAATTCAATGGAAAATGAGTGGAAACCTGGAAACACAACTCGATTATCGTAACCAGATTGAAGAAAGAGAATCACGAGTTCAAAATGGATAGCGCCCAACAGAATTACAAGTCCTCTTTACAAGTCCTCTTCATCCAACATGAGTTCCAGGCCTGGTGCACATCAGCACCAGCATCATTCTTTCAGTACAGAGTTCAACAGGTAAGTTTCTTCATAACTCGCTTCTCTCTCTTCTCTCCTTGTCCTTCTTCTCTCTCTCTCTCTGTCTATAGTTCTGATCTACTCACACTCTCCATGCATGCACACTCCCTATCACACGAGGATCTACTCTGAATACTACTCACTAGTTTCTTCTACTAACTATCCCTACTAATGTACTGACTGGCGCTGGCACAGCTATGGCTGCCTTTCTTCCAGCCAGCGCCCCACTTCTCTCTTTCACTTAGCGCTGCTCGCAGCCTAGCGCAGCTCACACACATCTGGCGCGCAAGTGCCACGGCACTTCCACACTCTCATGAGAAATGAGCATCTGCCCAATGAAGAGGCTGGCCAGTCCTCTATAGCGCTGGACTGGTTAGGCGAGGTCTGGATTCGGCCTCCAAGTGTCTGGGACTCCTGCCCATTACCTGTTGTTGCAAAGTGTGTGTCCCTGTATCTTTTCCCATGGTCTGCTCGTACTTTGGGCCGTCGGGCCCGTCTTTTGGACTCCTGGTCTGAATCAGGACTGACCCGTGGGACTGTGACTGGACTGGGACTGTGACCTTTGACTTATTGCGGAACAGACATGACCCTAACTCAGTCTTGAAATCTGTGCCCAATACCTGTTCGTCCAGGACCTGTTCGTGACTGTTCAAAATGACTTTTCATTTCATTATGGATGCGACATTTGCCTTAGGAACTTGTCGTTTGGAATATTGCTCGTGAAATTGAGTTCAGGCCGAGCAGGCCCCTTTTATGCTGGGTTCACACGGGTCTGAATCGTAAAGGCCCTTTTACTCTCGCCGGCCTAATTTCGAAGTCCTCTGAGACACTTGGAGGTGCAGATTTCATAGCTCCTCTACTGTACCAGCGCTCTTCACTTGGATCGTTCATAGTAAGATACTATGTTAGGTGCAAATTTCGTTAGCACCTTTCCTTGCTCGTTCATATTAAGACACTATGTTATGTGCAGATTTCATTAGCTCTTCTCTACTGTACCAGCGGTCTTCACTTGGATCTTGATATGCAAATCTGACTTTATACTGCCGCTGAGGTCTACCTCTGCTTCCAGTCTGAACAGTACTTTCAGTAACAATTTTATCAACATCAAATTTTCCATCCATACTCGGAGGAATTGCTGATCTTCGACTGGGAAACAGTTCATTAGTTACGCGAGGTAAGAGCTTTGATGCATGGAACACTGGGTCGGTATGCAAGTGTGGAGGTATCTCAATAACTTAGGAGGGCCCATCCACATCTCCTATCACATCCAATACTTGCCAAGGTCCTCTGTACGCAGGTAACAACTTCTGGGAAATGTTCTCTTCTGGAACAAATTCTTTTGATTTAACTTGCACCAGATCGCCTACAGCAAACTGAAAAGGTCTTATGTGCTTATTAGCCTGTTTAATCATCTGATGTTGCGCTTTTATTATGTTCTCCTCTACCTTTTCTAAATCTTTCTGATATTTCTTTGCGAATTCTTTAGTTCCTGGCGGAAGTTTATGTACTCGATCCGGGTTTAGACAATCGATAGGTCTGCGGGGACTCCATCCCAAATGCAACTCCATCGAGTTCTACAAGTAGGTAAATGTACAGAGTTGTTGTAGGCACTAACAACTTTGGGTAAATGTTCATCCCAGTCAATCTGATTGGGACGAATGTACATACGCAGCGTCTGCTGCAAGAGCTTGTTCATTTGCGCAATCTGCCCATTTGTCTCAGGGTGTCGGCCTGACGACATCGTCAGTTTGGAGCCATAGACACTCATTAGTTGCTGCCATTGTTCACTGGTGAACCGGGAGTCTCTTTCACTAACAATAGTGAAGGGATGACCGTAGTCCTTTATCGAGTGGTTAAAGAATTCTCGAATTACTAGATCAGTTCTAGCTTCCACAGGCAATGCTACAAAAACTGCAAACTTGCTAAACCTATCAACAATTATCATAACTTGGCTTTTCTCATTCCTGCTTTTCACTTTAGTGTAGACACAAAGTCTCCAGGACCTATTGGGATAGGCAAAGGCTTCAATAGAGCGAGGGGAGGTTGTGTGGTGCTTTCGTTTCGCTGACACACTTGACAGCCTTGCACATATTAAATACAATCAGGTTTCATTCGAGGCCAAGTGTAGGAACGCAAGAGATAGGTCTTTCTCCACCCGAAATGGCCTTCGGTATCATGACATTCCCCTAAGATCATACTTTTGATCTCCTCCTTGCTTGGAATACAAAGGCTATCATGCACGTCAGTTCTTTCAAACAACAGTCCTTGAGTTACTCGATAATTAGGAAACTCTGGAGGCGCTTTTTGAACACGTTTCAACATAGCGCCATAAACAGGATCAGTAGAATAAGCATTCCTAATCTTATCTTGGATGTCAGTGCCTTTGTTTAAGTATGTTACAATAGCACTGAAAAAGTCAAATCTTCGACTCAATGCGTCAACAACCACGTTTTACTTCCCCTTGACTGGCTTGAGTTCAAAATCATATTGGTCGACTTTTGTGGCCCATCTTGTCAACTTAGGTGTCATCCGGGCCTGCGTTTTCAGCCAGCGGAGTGTCTCATGATCTGAGTACACTTTGAAGTGGCGACCTAGGAGATAATGACGCCAGTGGTCCAAAGCTTCCCGGAGAGCAAACAACTCTCTTTCATACGTAGAAGCGGCAACCTTCTCACTAGGCAGTCGTCGAGACATAAACTCAACAGGCATGTATGTATTCCCGTCATCCTGTTGGAGTACAACACCTATCCCGTACTGACTGGCGTGAGTGGTAACAACAAAGGGCAAAGAAGGATCAGCAACTTTTAAGACCGGATAATTAATCAAACATTTCTTTAGACGCTTAAACGAAGATGTACAGTCTTGGTCCCACTTCCAGATTGTTTCCTTTTTCAAAAGTCTGCGAAGGGGAGCAGCAATTATTGTAAAGTGTTTTACGAATTTACGATAGTAGTTGGCCAATCCAAGGAACGATCGTAGTTCCGGCAGAGTACGTGGGTTGGGCCAATCTCGAATAGCTGCAATCTTTGCATCTTCCGGTTTGATACTGTCTCCATCCAGTACATGCCCTAGATATAATACCTGACGCTTTGCCCACTCACACTTCTCGAGGTTCAGTTTCAGTTTTGCTTCACGCAATTTA